CCTTTCCTATCCTCTACTATCCCCCCTCCCCTCCCCTCCCCTCCCCTCCCCTCTTCTCTCTCTGCTCCCTCTACTGACATTCGTTTGTCCCCCTTATATTATTTTTCCCCTTCCCCTCACTTCCTCTTGTATGTACTTTTGTATAACTCTGAGGGTCTCCTTTCATTTCCATGCATTTTCCCTTCTCTCTCCCTTTCCCTCCCACCTCTCATCCCTGTTTAATGTTAATCTTCTTCTCCTGCTCTTCGACCCTACTCTGTTCTTAGTTACTCTCCTTATATCAAAGAAGACATTTGGCATTTGTTTTTTAGGGATTGGCTAGCTTCACTTAGCATAATCTGCTCTAATGCCATCCATTTCCCTGTAAATTCTATGATTTTGTCATTTTTTAAAGCAGAGTAATACTCCATTGTGTATAAATGCCACATTTTTTTAATCCATTCATCCATTGAAGGGCATCTAGGTTGGTTCCACAGTCTAGCTATTGTGAATTGTGCTGCTATGAACATCGATGTAGCAGTGTCCCTGTAGCATGCGCTGAGAATGTTCTATAGTGAAGGCTTTCTAGTTGTGAATTCTTTTAACTTGTTTATCATGGAAGGTTTTTATTTCATCTTCAAATCTGAAGCTTAATTTTGCTGGGTATAGAATTCTTGGTTGGCATCCATTTTCTTTCAGAGTTTGGAATATATTATTCCAAGACATCCTTGATTTGAGGATCTGGGTTGAGAAATGATCTGAGATCTGAATTGGTTTCCCCTTAAATATAATCTGACATTTTTCTCTGGCAGCCTTTAAAATTCTATTCTTATTCTGTATGTTTAGGCATTTTTTTAATAATGTGACTTAGTGTGGGTCTGTTGAAATTTTGTACATTTGGGATCCTGTAAGTCTCCTGTTGCTGGGAGCCATTAGCCAAGTAGGTATGACAATTTCCTTGAGCAAGGTCACCTACATGCAATGTCACTGCAAAATGTCAGCAACATGGGTTTAATCAGAAGGGGGGAGATGCTGGGAGCCATTAGCCAAGTAGGTATGACAATTTCCTTGAGCAAGGTCACCTACATGCAATGTCACTGCAAAATGTCAGCAACATGGGGTACGCTGGCAAGGAAATTGTCATACCTACTTGGCTAATGGCTCCCAGCATCCTGTATTTGATCTTCCACTTCATTCTTTAGGTTTGGTAAATTTTCTAATATTATATAATTTAAAAGATTATGCATTCCTTTGGCTTATATCTATGCACCTTCACCTATCCCGATAAATCTTAAATTTGGTCTTTTCATATTCATGTTCATGTTCTCTTAACATATTCTCTCCATGGTCAACTTTATTTTCAAGATTATATATTTTGTCTTCATTGCCTAAAGTTCTGTCTTCCAAGTGGTCTAGTCTGTTGGTGATGCTTTCCATTGAATTTTAAATTTGGTTTATTAATTTCTTCATTTTGAGGATTTCTGTTTGATTTCTTTTCATAATCTCTATCTCTTTATTGAAGTGATCTTTCATCTCCTGAGTTTTATCTGATTTCACTCCTTAAATCATCCTTTGCCTTGTAGATCAGTTTAACTATATACATTATAAACACCTTTTTTGACATTCCTTCCACTGTGGTGTCAATGGATTCCATTATTGGAGCATCTTGGTTTGTTTGGGATAATTTTTTCCCTTATTTTTTCATACTGTTTTTGTGTCTACCTATCTATCACTGTGGATCTGAGGCAGTACAGTTTCTGTCCTGTAGATTTATAGTGTCCTTGAAGGTTTACAGTACCTTGCCTTTAAGGGGAGACAAATAATAACACCAACCAATGCAAACAATATTCAGCCTCAAACTAAATAGCTCCTACTAAGATGTCTACAGTTTTGTCACAATAAACAAAAAATACATGTTCAGTTATTGCCTATAATAAAAATGGCAAGTTTGCAAAAGTGTTTACTATTTCAAGTGATGAACAAAGAGAGAACAGAAGTGGTGCAGGTTGTGATGTTCATGAGGAAGAAGAAGATAGAAGTAAAAAATTATAAAAAGAGTGAAAGAAGGAATTATAGAAGCTGGCTGTTAGAAGGGGAAAAGAGAGAAATAGAATCAAGGGAAACAGATAACTGAGAGTAAAATATATATATATATATATATATATATATATATATATATTTTAAAAATTAAAATAGAAAGAAGAAAGTGTGAATAAAATAATACAAGACTGAAATATATTATTCAGATATCCCAGTTATACATACACAAATAAACTGATGTATGGAAAATAATTGGTTTCAAAAATGGTAGAAATGTGAGAAAAAAAGAAAAAGAAAAGGGAAAAAATGGATCTCAGTGGAAAAATTGAACAGTTGTTTCTGCTGGAGTTCAAAAGTTTCTCAGCTTCCCTTCTCAGCAGTTATTTGGAGTTTGATGCTTGCTCCTACCCTCGAACTCCTGGAGTTCAGGTGTAGGCTTGGTATGCTCCAGCTTCTTTGCTGAATGTCAGTTGGTCTGGATGTTTTAAGTCAGCATACCTCCATGGACCAGTAGGTGCATGCTGGAACACTTCACCCCAGGAATCTCCTTTGGGTTCACTCATGTGGTGTAGGAACCTGTTCTTAGCCCACTAAATCACTTGCAGACCCCACAATTCCTGTTTCTTTGATTCAGTCTCAAATTCAATCTCTCCTGCCCCCATGCTTCTCTCTCAGCTGGTCCTGAGGGCTGGGGCTGAGCCTGCAGGCCAGTCCTGAAGCTCTGTGCTGGACCAGGTAAGTCTGGTGGCTAAGCAGCATGTGGGGTGTTGAAGCCCAACCATGTCAGGGGCCCAGCTGTTCTCTGTTGGATGGGTCAGGGCCACGCACCAGGATTCAAAGCTGCAAGCAATGGGCCAGGTTGGGAGCCACAGAGGGGTTGGTGGACTGGGGAGTCAGAGGACTCTGTTGGATGCTGGACTCATGCTGGACCTAGCAGGACCTGGGACCAGGGGATTCTGGGGAGGGAGTCGGAGACCAGGCTGGTGCCAGTGCTGGCCTGGGTGGGCCCCAGGGATCAATGGGTGCCAGACCAGCTGGCTAGGGAGCTGAGAACAAAATGCCCTCACACCCTTTTCCAACCTTCCAACTCTGGGACCCGCTGTCCCATCAGTCCCTGTGAGCCTCAGGATTCACAAGGCTGGGGAGACCCCAACTCTTTCCAGCCTCTCTAACCTGTGCTCATCCAGGCAAGATTCTCCCAGTTTCTAATGTTCCACAGCAACCTAGCTGCAAACTGGGATCTGGGTTTTCAGATTCTGTAGGCTCTGCCATGCTGTAGTCCCATGGCTCCTGGATGGGCTCTCAGAGGACAATTGATAGACTCCCGTGGAGAGGTTTTAATTATATCAGATTAATGAGTCAAACAGTCTCTAGTTTGGCTAGGGCAGACTGCCCCTCCAGGTTTTTCAATCTAAGCTCCAGGGAAATGCTGCCTCACGCTAATCCGCCATCTTTGAGCCCCACTTTATGCTGCCTTTTAACAAAGTCATAGTATTATTGCCTACCCAAATCTAGTATGATTGTCTCTTAGCTACTTATATTTGCCAAGACTTTTTCCAATAGAGTCACATTCTGAAGTTCTGAGTTGGCATGAATTTGTGGGGTACCTACCCTCAGGACATACAGGTTTCTCGTCGTTACATCTTCTTGATAGTTTCACTCTTTTTTTTTTTATTATTACATAACAGCCTTTTTGTCTTCAGTAGCCTGTATTTTTCATAAAGTCTATTTTTTCTTGTTGACATAATTTCTCCAGCTCTCTTTGGATTAAATGTTTGTATGATACAACATTTTTTCATCTTTTAAACTTTCAGTGTAGCCTGGCACAGTAGTATTTACCTGTAATCCTAATGATTTGGAAGTCTGAAGCAGGAGGATTACAAATTTGAGGCCAGACTTGGCAACTTGGTAAATTCTTAAGCAACTTAGTGAGAACATATCTCATAATTTTTTAAAAAAAGGTCTAAGGATATAACTCAGTGGTTAAGCACCCCAAGATTCAATGCTTAGTACCAAACACAAAAAACAATAAATTAGAGTGGGGGGGAATTACAAAAATACATCTATTCTGTTTTTTTTTTTTTTTTATATTTGCCTATGTAGTTACTTTTATTGGTGTTCTTATTTTTTTTTCTCATGGATTAAAATGACTGTATAGTATTCTTCATGATGAAGTGAATGACTCACTTTACTAGATTTAAATTTTTTAGTTGTACATGGACACAATTCCTTTATTATATTTATTTTTTTAAATGTGGTGCTGAGGATTGAACCCAGTGCCTCATACATGCTAGGCAAGCACTGTACTACTAAGCTACAACCTCAGACCTTCACTTTACTAATTATTGTAGGGCAGGTTTGCCTATGATTTTCTCAGGTTTTATGTACCTGCATATACATAGTAAGATAGCAAGGGCAAGAATAAACTTTAAGTTGATTAAATAAGCAACTTAGAAACATGGATGGGCTATCCACAAGAAGAACTGGTCCATATTTCAAGTGTGAAATTTTTGAATGATGAGCAACTTTCACTCTAAATAAAAGAGGATTGGTATCATTCATGAGAAAAATCAAAGAATAATATAAATTTTACAAGTACAATACTACCTTTCTATTTATTCATTGATATAGTCCTAGTGCCCAGCATACTACTTGGCATGTGGTAGATGAATAAATGAATAAAGAATACTAGAGAAGACCAGTGTTGCTGGGAGATTGAAAAAAAATGATTTCTGAGGGTTAGCTTTAATGTTCATGAATTCTGATAGGATGATACACTGGTAAATTAATAGCACAATGTTTAAAATGTAAAATTCTATCCAGTGTTTACTGCATTGATAGGTTTGAGTCCTATGTAACCCATAAATCTTTAGAGATATTTTTGTATAATTTATTTGATTAAATGTTTCTCAGTTTGCAAGTCTCAATGTGTGCTTCTGTTTGGGGAAAAAGATGTTAACTACTGTCGATTTTCATGACAGAATGGGCGCTTAAAGGAGGAACAGAATTGGCACATAAAGAACCTACTAAAGGAACTGAGTGAGGATAAGTCAGACAGATTACCAGTTGTAACGAGAGAGGATGTTGAAGAAGCAATGAAGGAAAAATGGAAGTTTGAAAGAGACCAGGAAAAAAACTTGAGAGGTGATTTAAGAACTTAAGAGAATTTTCATGGAAGTGTTAGTTATTTCTTGAATGTACTAATGCTTTTGTCTTTCAATATATTCAAAATGCTGTGAATATATTTCACATGACATCATTCCCACCACAACCACAAACACAGGCGAGGGAAATAACAAAGTAGGCAGAGGTACTGAAGCCAAGTGAGGAGGAAGAATAAGGGCAGTGATCAAAAATGAAGATGGATGAAATCTGACTCTTAACACTGAACAGCATCTGTGAGAGACCACTCTGAATTTCTTCTCACAGTGTGTATTTTTTTCTTTCTTTTGTGACATTCTATTGTTTGGTGGGTTCATTGGCTTTAGATTGGTAATGATAAGATGAATATAACAATGGAATACCCATTCCCAATGTCTCTAATGAAGATAAGCCCCACATTCAGATGGGGGATAGAGGCATTAGACTTAGGAAAGGGGAAGTTTGGAGGACATGGATAGAAATGATGCTAGAAGTGGGAGATCAAACACCTAAGACATATTGACCTAGAAAATCATGGTCTTGGGGTAAGCTGGACATGTACAGTTTTAATGCATGCATTTTCTTTATTCCTATTCCTTCATCCTAAACTTGTAGCTGAGATTTCTAAAATCACTTTTGTCAAAAACTCCATAAATAATATGTCTGCTAGGAAGCTAAAAAATATGGAAAGAGACTTATGCACTCACTATAAGAAATATCTAAAGCTGGGAGGCACAACAAGGGACTAGATCTTCCTGGATTTCTCTAGGTTTTTCAGAACACCTACTTAACCAAGCACATTGCATAAAGCAGTCACACCACTCTGGATATTTGTTGTTTGGAGTGAAATAGCCTCCAAAGCTAAACATGAAGAAGTAAGCTCTATTTTTAGAGGTCAAAACTGTTCCATAAAACTCTTCCTTCCCAAGTCTCTTTATGGGCAGTAGTGAGGCTATGAGGTGGTAGATAGGGTATTTTGTAAGACTTCTCTCCAAAAGAGTTCTGCATGTGTTTGAAAGTAATGCCTTAATATGTCCCTTGAGTTGGGATTGAGACCTCCCAAAGGATGCTCAGGTCTTCTTGGTGAACTGTCTTCTAAGTGGAGAGGACCCAGTTGAAGAGTGCCTGTTTATGGTTTGGACTGTATGTGTGTGTCATACAAGACCGTTGGCCAAGTTGGATAACTGAGCACAGCAGAGGGAGGGAGGACATATGTGGTTTTCCAAGGAAGAAAGCTTACGAAGGCCAAGGAAGAGAGGGAAAGTGGGAGAACAGATGTAACTGGAAAGAATTTCTGAGGCAGATGTGCCAACTAGTCCCTTACAGTTCATTTTGGTTTGAAGCAAAAGCAGCAGCTCACCTGGGAGCTTCTTAGATTCATGGAATCTCAGGCCCCACCCAGACCTACTGAATCAGTGTGCATTTTTGACAAAATCCCAGGGGGTTCATCCTGTGCACCTCAAAGTTTACAAATTACTGCTACAAGTCTTTTCTTCCAACTTTTAGCCAGGATCGTTCAGGTACAAGGATAAAAATCCAACTCAAACTAGTCTGAGCATAAAAGGAATGGTATTTTTTCATTTCATATAATCAAACCACAGAAAAGGCAGGGTGCTGCTGACTCTATGCAGGGCCTACATGCTATCAGATCTCATATTTTTTAAAAAATCTGTGTATGTTTGTGTATGTGTTACTAAAAGGGAAGGGAAAGGAGTTTTAAGAAAGTAAAACAATAACCACTACCTCTACCTCTTTCCAGTACTTTAGTGACAGCTACTAACCTTCAACTCAGGGGCTGAATGTAGCATAGGGCTCAGACAGTTGCAGTCTGCTCAAATGAGAGAACAGTTGCTCTCTGGGTAATAATAGTAGTAATAATTATTAAATAACAATAATAGGCACTATGTGTTAGGAGATTTTAAAATATATAATCATATATATATCTGGGGAAAAAAACATGCCTAAAGTCCTTTCAGACCACTGAACCCTAGAACATCCCTTTGGTCTAACTGGAATGCTTCAGTTGCTCAAAAACATTTATTGAGTACCAACTAATTGTCAGGCTCTGTGCTAAGGGCTTTATTTACAGAGATTAATAAGATGTGTCTTACCCTTAAGGAACTGTCAAACAGGTTGTGTGTGGTAATGATTCAAACACCCATTAAGTTCATTGGACTGTGTGTTGTATAATGTTTCCTATTAAAAAATATTCAGGCAAGAAATGGCGGCACAGGCCTGTCATCTCAGTGACACAAGAGACTGAGGCAAGAGGATCACAAGTATAGCCTTGGCCACTTAGTGGGACCTTGTCTCAAAATAAAAGTTAAAAAGGGCTGGGATGTAGCTTAGTGGTAAAGTTCCCCTGAGTTCAATCCTCAGGACCCCACTTCCAAATACTCAGCAGTATTATACTCAAGTTTAAAGACTGAATAAAATATCATGTTTAGCAAGTGCACCAGAGTAAATGTTATATGTCTAAAACAGCTCAATATTTATGCATATTTATTTGGGGGAACTCATTTTTCACTCTAAAGTCTTACTAAGTGGGAGAGTAGGAAAAGACATGTTATCATGACTTTCATATGCTATCATTTCACACAAGGGAAATTCAAACTAGTGCATTTACTTACAAACAATTTACTTATAAAAATGACTGCCAAAGACATGAAAAGGACATAAGTTGAAATCACTTTTGTCCAGAGGCATAATGGCCAAAAAAAATGACAATCTACAAATAGAGAATATATATGATATAATGTATTGCACAAAATAGGACCCATGTTAAGCCATCACAGGACTATTTAAACTTATGGGTTCCTAGGCATATATATCCTTTGATCACAGACCCAAACCACACATCTACTCTATAATTGGAAGCTAATGTTACTTGGCTTTTAAATCAGGAAGAATAAGCAATAGTTTAAAGTTTATATTTCCCAAAATTATATACATAAAATAGTATTTATAAGTTAACAGAATTTTAATGCCAGACCTTAACTTCATAAAACCAGATTCCAAAATATTATTGCAAGGATAATAAAAATGACTTGGTATCTTGATTTTCTTTCCAACAGATATGCGCACACAAATAGGTAATGCTGAGAAACTGTTTCTTGAGAAACTCAGTGAAAAGGAATATTGGGAAGAGTACAAGAATATAGGGAGTGAACAACATGCTAAACTCATTACATCCTTGCAAAATGACATCAATACAGTTAAAGAGAATGCAGAGAAAATGTCAGGTCAGTTCCAACAAAGCTAGATCAAATTCATTAAAAGACCTTTAGGGGATATATATTTGGTGGAAGAAAAAAAAATGGGTACTTCTACATGAATCTCTGCTATGAGCACAACCTGCATCAAGGGAATGCAAGTGAAATATCTCATGGAATGGGGAAGGTGGTCCTCTGAGGCATCCATAAAAACATTCCCATGAAAGAGGGAGTCAGCCTCTATCCAGCTAGGACCAGGAAATGAACATGAGTTTTGAGACGGTATCAGTCAAGTGAGACCTCTCTTTCCCTTCACCATGCTCCCCTCTTTGCTTCAGCCCTGAAATAGGAGGCTTGGGAGCTCAAGGCAGAGGAAACACAGCAGTCCCCAGCAAGGAAAGAGGAATAGCCATCATTTTGAATGAACCTGAATGTTTTGTTTACTACAGTACACTGGACATATTAAGTTCTTATTAGAGGACCTTTTATTACCACAAAGGAACAAAAATTTCATAGAAATTGCCATATATTTTATCAAGAGGAAGTCACTAGCCTCATACAATGAATTTTAAAGGAAGAAAGGAAATAAAATTGCTTGACTTCCCATGGGTCATGCTTGTTGAATGTGACACTTTCATTGAGGAATGGGAGGACATTCCTTCCGTTGATTGAATATAGAATCAGAAGGCCATTGGTTCAGTGGTGGCTTAACAGATGGTTCCTCCTTATCTTTGAAGATTTGTGATTTATTCTTTTGAGGCACTCCTGATTTGCTCTGTGGGCTTGTCCATATTCTCTTCTTGTTTCCCATGGACTAATTCTTGCAGTGTTCTCCAGCCCAGCTTCTGAAGAGAAGCCAGGTGTCTTTATTTACCTAACTAAAAAACAATCAAAGACCTTTGTCCATGACTCCTCATGGATTGCTAGTCAGCCCCAAAATAAACTCTTTGGTCAACTGTCCCAACTTGCTTTATTTAGTAGCCATCAATGATCCCTGACAGGGGTAGGGGTGGGAAAAAGTATTCAGGACTACTTTTATGAGATTTAGCCAGAAGTAGGAGTTGGGGGATTGGGTATAGAAAACAGGCACTGGTATATCCTGTGATACATAGGTCAAAACTAGTTTTTTCCCCAAAAGAAAAAAGAAACTTAGCCCTGATAAGTAATTACAGTCACAGAGTATTTTGTACTTTACTAGGGGCACAGGACAGGGATCCTTAAAACTTTTTTGTATACTAAGAGTGAGTTAAAAGACTTGGGTTCAATACGCAAGACCCTGGGTTCAATCCCCAGCACCACAAAAAACAAAACAAACAAAAAGACTTGGGTTCAAATTCATTTATAAATAAATAAATATTATATCCTTGAGTCTTAAAATTTCCTTCTCTATAAAATGAGAGTCCCCAGGTGTTCTCCAAGATGATTCACTGTTCCAATTTTGCTTTTCTATGTAATCCTTTTAAGTTCCTTACAGATTAATTGGGCCCACTTTAAAGATGTGAAAAAAGAGGCTGAGAGAAGTTAATTGACTTAACCAAATTCACATACTTAGTAAGTAGTGGAAAAGGATCTTTGAACCTAGGTGCATCAGACACTAAACTCACATCCTTCAAATAGGCCTCCTAGCTCTGTGATCCAGTGAGGCAGGGATGGCTCTCTAATACCAACTGTGCCTGCAGAGTTGACTGCTTCTGCTCAGTTTCTCCAGAGGAAACTGAAAGGAGGCCCCACCCAGGAGAGGATCAGCTCAATGAAGTTGTGTCATGCCCAGAAGTGAGTGACAGAGCACAAAACTCTCAGCAGGCATGGAGGAGTAAACCAAAGCAGAGCCAAATACCACAGGGAAGTCAGAACAATGCAGAACAAGCTTTAACCAGTGTGATTTGTGGGCTTGTCCCTATTTTCTTCTTGCTTCCCATGGACTAAGGTCCAGGTTTTATGGTTTCTTTCAGATGTTAAGATTGTAAAATCCATTACAGCTAAACTCCTGTTCCATTGCAACTTTTAGGTTGATTGTTGTTTTGTTAGACCTAAGTTTCAAACTCAGCCTCTGAATAGTAGCCACATTAGACTGAGCATCTGAGCAGCCAGGAGTCTCACAGCACAAAGTCATAATCTTCCAAGCTCCCAGTTGCAGTGTGGCGAACTTTTATGAAAAGGAGACTTCTGTATATCCTTACTCTCTTTGGCTATCTTCACAAATGAGTGGTTAGTAACTGTCTCTCAGCTACAGAAAGCATCATCCAAATCACAAAAGATAATAGATTTTCACAATTTGTGCTGGTTATATTGTTTTTAAGAAGAAAAACAGTCCATAGAATGTTAACTGGGGTTTGGAACAGTTATCAATGTTAATACTGTTTCTTCAGTATTAATGTGGCAATAGAGCTATAGCTCTGGGTAGTCTATTTTTTATAATTTACAGCAAAAAGTTCATTTTTTTCAATTTTTTTTTAGTTGTAGTTGGACACAATACCTTTATTTTATTGATTTTTATGTGGTGCTGAGGATCGAACCCAGCACATTGCACAACCCCACTGAGCCACAACCCTAGCCCCAAAATAGTTCATATTTAATGTTATAAAGGTCCAGGTTTTATGGTTTCTTTCAGATGTTAAGATTTTAAAATCCATTACAGCTAAACTCCTGTTCCATTGCAACTTTTAGGTTGATTGTTGTTTTGTTGGACCTACGATTCAAATAAATAAATAATATTAACCTGATGAGCTTGGGCTTAAATTAAAAAAAAAGAAATTCCAGGGCTGGGGTGGTGGCTTAGTTGTGGAACTCTTGCCTCACACATATGAGGCCCTGGGTTCAATCCTTAGCACCACATAAAATAAATAAATAAACAAACAAACAAACAATAAATGTATTGTGTCTATCTACAACCAAAAAAGTTATTAAAAAAAGAAATTCCATTGGAAATGAAGTTGAAAGGAATAAATAATCAAGCAATTACTTCAAATTAGAGTAAGAAAAAATGCAGGTAGATGAGCATGTGTAGGAAAAATGAAGATGTCTATTTCTTATTTTCCAGATGACAAGTTAGATTAGTTCTCCAAATCTCATGATCTCTTGTTTTGAACCATGCCTCAGTCAGACACTCTATCCAACTCTTGAGGCCCTCTCTGGACCCATTTTTCTGGCCACTCTACAACTTGGGCAAGCTCTCTTCTCTCTTTGCTTCCCCTTCCTCTCCACCAGTTGCCCCTGAGGAGCATCATTTGCTACCCTGGTGCTGAAATCATAGATCACTGCCCATCTAAGATTTGCAGTTAGCCAAATTTAATTTTCTTCAAAATGTTTTTCAATATCTATTGTGTCCAGGAATTCAGTAATAGAAAGAGATGAAAATTTTTACTTCCTGCTAATAGGGGGAACTGAGTAATTTTTGCCTAGCTCCCTAGTTTCCTAGAAGCCACCTTAATTTAGTTCCTGGTCTGTTTGAAGACTGGACCTCCAGATCTGCTTCCCTATGGCATAAGATCCCAAGCATTCAGCTTTGACAGCCTTGATCTGTGAAGAAAAATTTGAATTGAAACAATATCCTAAATGGCAGTTACGTTCTACAGCACTCTTGGTACAATATTTATGTTTAGTTATAGAATAAGTTAAATAGGCCTCTGTGGGCCTTTCCAGAAATCTAGCAAACACAGTTTTCAGCATTATTTATATGGAAAATACATCTAAAGTAATTATCTTGGATATGTTATAAATGAAGATAGGGGACATATAACTTTGATGTTATAAAAAACACAATTTTGATTACTGTTATGTTAACTCATCTGGAGTAGTACAGTTCCCTTGTATTTCACATTGCTGACTGTATCACTTTATTGAAGAATCTGCTCAGATGTTAACTCCTCAAGAAAGCTTTCTCTGATCATTCTACCTGAAAGAGATTTTTAGTTTCTCTTCATCACACACATCACCACCTAAAATAATATTTGTTTTTTTATTTTATGGTGTGCCTTTCCTATGAGAATGTACATGCCATAAGGACAGGGGTTTTGTCTGTAGTAATCAGCAATATTCCCAATGCCTTCAATAGTGTCTGGCATATAGAAGAACTTGATAATTGTTGAAAAAAGCAAACAAATTGAGCTCCTTTTATCCAGCATTATTCCTCTCCACACTCTAAAAGCAGTCTTAATATCATGGTACCTTAATTTTCTTTAAAAATATGTTTGTTTGTTTTTAAATTGAAGGATCTCTAAGCATCTTTTAAGGTCTAAACTTCAATGATTCTTTGTTTTCTCAATAATGACATTAAGGACCATAAGAAAATACATAGATAGAGAATCCTGCACTTGTCTCTGTCCTTTCTTCTGGTAAGCCCAACACAGAATCAGGTCTATTGCCTCTCATGCCCCTTCTGCTCAGAATGCTTCTCATTCTGTTTTTCCCTGCCCCAGGAAATGCATGCCAGGAATATTGAAAATTTAGTTAGGTAGAATTTTTGGTAAAAATGTACTAAGAAGCCAGGTGCTGTGATGCATGCCTATAATCAATCCCGCTATTTGGGAAACTGAGATGAAAGATCAACCACAGCAAGACCCTGCCTCAAAAAATATTTTTCTCTGAGAATTTAGGAGAAAAAAATGTGTAGAAAGGAGAGATGTGGATTATGGAAGGTGACATTTACTAACATATAGATTTACCCAGGAGCAGTCTTGTTAAGGCTTATAATTTTCTGTTTAAAGAACAGTATAAAATTACTCTGGAAGATACTAGAAAGAAAATAATCAGAGAAACTTTGGTGCTACTGGACCAAAAGAAGGAATGGGCTGCGCAGGTATGTTTCAATTTTCTTAAAACAAAACTTTCCCCTTAATTTTTCTTATATTATAGTGGTTAATAACTTGCATTCTAAAGTTAGGCAGTTTGAGTTTAAATAACAATTCTACCACTTACTGGATTTATAACCAAGTTTATTAATTTTTATGGGCTTCTGTTTCCTAATTAATAAAATAGGGAAAATAATAATATTTATCTCAAAGAGATAATGTGAGGAATGAATGAAATGATTTAAGTACCCTAATGTCTCACAAGAAGCAAATAAATTACTTTTTTGGCTATTTTTAAAGTATAATAATAATAATAATGACTACAACAAAACATTAAAATAAATCCTTTGGATGAAGAATAGAATGAAATATTGTCTGAAAGGTAGTTATTACATATCCAAACCTAGGAGAATACACTCTATACTGCTGGCACTTTAAGTTTGGGATATAAAACATTTTCTGAGACATAATTTCCAATCATGTATGTTCTTTGTTTACACTAAATATCTAAGTTTTTATTTTTCCATAGTCCTTCTACAAACTATCTCCTAAATCAGTAAAGGAGTGTCCAGCACAGATCTTGGACATCCTTTCTTCAGAATCACAAACATTTGGTCTTTTTAATTTCAGTTGCTATTGTTTGTTGCATCTTCATTGGTTCAGTTGTTTCTGCCATGGTACTCTCTCTATTGCATGACTTTTACTAATTTATACAAATATAGAAGATTATGGAGAACTGATCAAGAGTTTGTCTGCCCATGCAATTGGGTCACTTTGTGACTGAATCTGAGTAAATAGTGAAATTGACCATTAAGTTATCCGACTATAGTTAAGATGATTGAAAATACATATGTAGATCAAACAAGCATACAAATTCAAGCATGTATCATGAGAACTGTTCTAAATACTTCTCTAAGCATTTTACATTTAAGTCTCTCAGCAACCCTACAAGGCCTAGGAAGCTGATGAGGAGGAGACTGAGGCACAGAGAAATAAAAATAACATGACTTGCCCAGAACAAGTAGGAAAACTCACAATCAATTCAGGAGATTTCTTTCAGATAGATCATTGGTGATCACACTATACATTTTCTCTTTTCTACATACTGCTAAATACTCAACATGGTTGAATTACATTTTCATTTTAACTGGCTATGTTACCATACAGTTTACCTTTCTGTACAGGACTTTGCAAACTTAGCTACACATTGATGTGTCACATGAGGAACTTTTTTAACCTAACCTGGTACCCGGGTCCCACTCACAGAGATGCTAATGTTATTGACCTGGGATATTACCAGAGTTCACAGATTTTTCAAAATGTACAGCATTTGAAATATAATTAAAATATATTGCCAAAGTGGAAACCACTGCCTCATTGTTAGTGAATTAACTTGTTAGTCATCTGACCTCAAGAGCTACTTCCTGCTTTTGTTCAAATGAAATTTTACATTGGAGGAAATTAGAATCATAATAGGAATATAAAAGTTCCTGGTTCCTAGGGCATATTTAATAAGCATGATTTAATGATTTTTTAATTGAAAATATTTCATCTCTAAAGACAGCAGAAAAACTTACCCTTCACATACCTTTAAACTATTTTTATCCATATTTATGATCTAGACTATCTTTCTCTTTTCTTTTTTGTAGAATATTTTTCTTAATTTCTCATCTTATCCCAGTGAGAGTTGGGAGGCTGAAATAGGAGAATCATAAGCGTGGGGCCAGCCTAAGCAACTTAGTGAGACTATCTCAAAGAAAACGTGGTGAGGACGGGAACTGGCGATGTGGCTCAGTGGCAGAGCACCTCTGGGTTCAATCTCCAGTACAAAAAAAAAAAAAAAACAAAAAAAAAAAAACTCTTCTTTTGATTCTGCCCTTCAGTTACTGAATATTGAATTTATATCATGATCTTCATTTAAAATCATCTTACAAAGAAATATAGTGTCATCCATTATAAAATTTTTGCAGGTGAAATTTAAAATCCAAGTATTTGAAAAAAATTGCATTTTATGAATGTACTGATGAAGTAAGACTTTTCCTGTTTCTTTACACAAAATCTTTCTCAGGAGACAAGCTAATAGCCAGTATCCCTAAAACTAAGTGTTATTAGGTTTATAAATGTGTATATTGTTACTACTCATGTAGAAATTGTTCTAATTAAAAATATAGAAGTGTCATTTACTTATGCTTTTGCTATATATTGGATTATATCTGACTATGGAGTGTTTGATCACTGCAAGTTAGCTATCTCAAATGTGGAGCATGAATGACAGCCACACACTGTTCATTTCTCCAAATCACCTGTAGCAGACAATGTAAATCAACAAAAACAAAAATACAATAGGATAAGAACAAATGACTGAACCAAAAGTTCTCACATGTTCCTAAAAATCCTTACAAAATATAATTTAAAATGAATGATCAGTTAGACTGACTGTGTGACATCGTTGGGTAAAACTCTGAATCATCACATGGCAACTCTTGGTTAACATAAACTTTCTTTTAGAATGCTGTAAAGTTAATTGATAAAAACAGTTATCGAGAGATCTGGGAGAATGATTGGCTGAAAAAAGAGGTGAGTAGAATACATCAAAACAGTTTTTTCTTTCTTTCCTTTATTTATTTATTTATTTATTTATTTATTTTTTTGTTGAACTGGAGATGACATTTAATCGTAAAATGAAGTCATGGGAAAAGCATGGAATTTGAGATCAAGTGAAATTCTAATCTTTTTAGTAAGTTGCTATTCAACAAATACCATAGTCTCAGTAATAACCAGAAGTAATTTGGGGGCTACAATTCACACAGTATACTCAAATCTGTATAGTTTCTTCATGTCTCCTCGTGGGTGCATTCTGACTTCTGATTTATTTATTTATTTTTTTTTTAAATTTTTTATTGTTGGCTGTTCAAAACATTACATAGTTCTTGATATATCATATTTCACAATTTGATTCAAGTGGGTTATGAGCTCCCATTTTTACCCCATATACAGATTGCAGAATCACATCAGTTACACATCCATTGATTTACATATTGCCATACTAGTGTCTGTTGTATTCTGCTGCCTTTCCTATCCTCTACTATCCCCCCTCCCCTCCCCTCCCCTCCCCTCCCCTCTTCTCTCTCTGCTCCCTCTACTGACATTCGTTTGTCCCCCTTATATTATTTTTCCCCTTCCCCTCACTTCCTCTTGTATGTACTTTTGTATAACTCTGAGGGTCTCCTTCCATTTCCATGCATTTTCCCTTCTCTCTCCCTTTCCCTCCCACCTCTCATCCCTGTTTAATGTTAATCTTCTTCTCATGCTCTTCGACCCTACTCTGTTCTTAGTTACTCTCCTTATATCAAAGAAGACATTTGGCATTTGTTTTTTAGGGATTGGCTAGCTTCACTTAGCATAATCTGCTCTAATGCCATCCATTTCCCTGTAAATTCTATGATTTTGTCATTTTTTAAAGCAGAGTAATACTCCATTGTGTATAAATGCCACATTTTTTTTATCCATTCATCCATTGAAGGGCATCTAGGTTGGTTCCACAGTCTAGCTATTGTGAATTGTGCTGCTATGAACATCGATGTAGCAGTGTCCCTGTAGCATGCTCTTTTTAGGTCTTTAGGGAATAGACCGAGAAGGGGAATAGCTGGGTCAAATGGTGGTTCCATTCCCAGCTTTCCAAGAAATCTCCATACTGCTTTCCAAATTGGCTGCACCAATTTGCAGTCCCACCAGCAATGTACAAGTGTACCCTTTTCCCCACATCCTCGCCAGCACTTGTTGTTGTTTGACTTCATAATGGCTGCCAATCTTACTGGAGTGAGATGGTATCTTAGGGTGGTTTTGATTTGCATTTCTCTGACTGCTAGAGATGGTGAGCATTTTTTCATGTACTTGTTGATTGATTGTATGTCCTCCTCTGAGAAGTGTCTGTTCAGGTCCTTGGCCCATTTGTTGATTGGGTTGTTTGTTCTCTTATTGTCTAATTTTTTGAGTTCTTTGTATACTCTGGATATTAGGGCTCTATCTGAAGTGTGAGGAGTAAAGATTTGTTCCCAGGATGTAGGCTCTCTATTTACCTCTCTTATTGTATCTTTTGCTGAGAAAAAACTTTTGAGTAAGTCCCATTTGTTGATTCTAGTTATTAACTTTTGTGCTATGGGTGTCCTATTGAGGAATTTGGAGCCCGACCCCACAGTATGTAGATCATAGCCAACTTTTTCTTCTATCAGACGGCGTGTCTCTGATTTGATATCAAGCTCCTTGATCCATTTTGAATTCACTTTTGTGCATGGCGAGAGAAAGGGATTCAGTTTCATTTTGTTGCATATGGATTTCCAGTTTTCCCAGCACCATTTGTTGAAGATGCTATCCTTCCTCCATTGCATGCTTTTAGCCCCTTTATCAAATATAAGATAGTTGTAGTTTTGTGGATTGGTTTCTGTGTCCTCTATTCTGTACCATTGGTCCACCCGCCTGTTTTGGTACCAGTACCATGCTGTTTTTGTTACTATTGCTCTGTAGTATAGTTTGAAGTCTGGTATCGCTATACCACCTGATTCACACTTCCTGCTTAGCATTGTTTTTGCTATTCTGGGTCTTTTGTTTTTCCATATGAATTTCATGATTGCTTTCTCTATTTCTACAAGAAATGCTGTTGGGATTTTGATTGGCATTGCATTAAACCTATAGAGAACTTTTGGTAATATCGCCATTTTGATGATGTTAGTTCTGCCTATCCATGAACAGGGTATATTTTTCCATCTTCTAAGATCTTCTTCTATTTCTCTCTTTAGGGTTCTGTAGTTTTCATTGTATAAGTCTTTCACCTCTTTTGTTAGGTTGATTCCCAAGTATTTTATTTTTTTTTTGAAGATATTGTGAATGGAGTGGTTGTCCTCATTTCCATTTCAGAGGCTTTGTCACTGATATACAGGAATGCCTTTGATTTATGCGTGTTGATTTTATATCCTGCCACTTTGCTGAATTCATTTATTAGCTCTAATAGTTTCTTTGTAGACCCTTTTGGGTCTGCTATGTATAGAATCATGTCATCTGCAAATAGTGATAATTTAAGTTCTTCTTTTCCTATTTTGATGCCTTTAATTTCTTTCGTCTGTCTAATTGCTCTGGCCAGTGTTTCGAGAACTATGTTGAACAGAAGTGGTGAGAGAGGGCATCCCTGTCTTGTTCCAGATTTTAGAGGGAATGCCTTCAATTTTTCTCTATTCAGAATGATGCTAGCCTGAGGCTTAGCATAGATTGCTTTTACAATATTGAGGTATGTTCCTGTTATCCCTAGTTTTTCTAGAGTTTTGAACATAAAGGGATGCTGTACTTTGTCGAATGCTTTTTCCGCATCTATCGAGATGATCATATGATTCTTATTTTTAAGTCTATTGATGTGGTGAATAACATTTATTGATTTCCGTATATTGAACCAGCCTTGCATCCCAGGGATGAATCCTACTTGATCATGGTGCACAATTTTTTGATAAGTTTTTGTATCCGAGTGGCCAGAATTTTATTGAGGATTTTTGCATCTAGGTTCATTAGAGATATTGGTCTGTAGTTTTCTTTCTTTGAAGTGTCTTTGTCTGGTTTAGGTATCAGGGTGATGTTGGCCTCGTAGAATGAATTTGGAAGTTCTCCCTCTTTTTCTATTTCCTGAAGTAGCTTGAAAAGTATTGGTATTAGTTCCTCTTTAAAGGTTTTGTAAAACTCTGCTGTATACCCATCCGGTCCTGGGCTTTTCTTAGTTGGTAGTCTTTTGATGGTTTCTTCTATTTCCTCAATTGATATTGGTCTGTTTAGGTTGTCTATATCCTCCTGACTCAATCTGGGCAGATCATATGACTTAAGAAATTTATCTATGCCTTCACTGTCTTCTAATTTATTGGAGTATAAGGATTCAAAATAATTTTTGATTATCTTCTGTATTTCTGAAGTGTCTGTTGTGATATTGCCTCTTTCATCCCGTATGTTAGTAATTTGAGTTCTCTCTCTTCTTCTCTTCGCTAGCATGGCTAAGGGTCTGTCGATTTTGTTTATTTTTTCAAAGAACCAACTTTTAGTTTTGTCAATTTTTTCAATTGTTTCTTTTGTTTCGATTTCATTAATTTCAGCTCTGATTTTAATTATTTCTTGCCTTCTACTTCTTTTGCTGTTGTTTTGCTCTTCTTTTTCTAGGATTTTGAGATGAAGTATGAGATCATTTATTTGTTGGTTTTTTCTTTTTTTAAGGAATGAACTCCAAGCAATGAATTTTCCTCTTAGAACTGCTTTCAATGTGTCCCATAGATTCCGATATGTTGTGTCTGTGTTTTCATTTATCTCTAAGAATTTTTTAATTTCCTTCTTAATGTCTTCTATAACCCATTGATCATTCAGTAACCTATTGTTCATTCTCCAAGTGATGTATTCTTTTCCCTTCCTTCTTTTATCATTGATTTTCAGTTCCATTCCATTATGATCAGATAGGATGCATGGTATTATCTCTACTCCTTTATATTGTCTAAGAGTTTCCCTGTGACATAATATATGATCTATTTTTGAGAAGGATCCATGTGCTGCTGAGAAAAAAGTGTAACTGCTTGATGTTGGGTGGTATATTCTATATATGTCAATTAAGTCTAGGTTATTAATTGTGTTATTGAGTTCTATAGTTTCCTTATTCAACTTTTGTTTGGAAGATCTGTCCAATGGTGATAGAGGTGTGTTGAAGTCTCCCATGATTATTGTATGGTGGTCTATTAGACTCTTGAACTTGAGAAGAGTTTGTTTGATGAACATAGCTGCACCATTGTTTGGGGCATATATATTTATGATTGTTATGTCTTGTTGGTGTATGGTTCCCTTGAGCAGTATGTAGTGTCCCTCTTTATCCCTTTTGATTAACTTTGGCTTGAAATCTATTTTATTTGATATGAGTATGGATACTCCTGCTTGTTTCCGAAGTCCATATGAGTGATATGATTTTTCCCAACCTTTCACCTTCAGCCTATGTATGTCTTTTCCTATCAAATGCGTCTCCTGTAGGCAGCATATTGTTGGGTCTTGTTTTGTGATCCATTCTACTAGCCTGTGTCTCTTGATTGGTGAGTTTAAGCCATTAACATTTAGGGTTATTATTGAGATATGGGTTGTTCTTCCAGCCATATTTGTTTATTTATGTTACTAAACATGGTTTGTTTTCCTCTTTGATTATTTTCCCCCCTTTAGTGTCCTACCTCCCACTGTTGGTTTTCATTGTTATTTTCCATTTCCTCTTCCTGTAATGTTTTGCCAAGGATGTTTTGAAGAGATGGTTTTCTAGCTGCAAATTCTTTTAACTTTTGTTTATCGTGGAAGGTTTTAATTTCATCTTCCATCCTGAAGCTTAATTTCGCTGGAAACACAATTCTTGGTTGGAACCCATTTTCTTTCAGGGTTTGAAATATGTTATTCCAGTATCTTCTAGCTTTCAGAGTCTGTGTTGAAAGATCAGCTGTTATCCTGATTGGCTTACCCCTAAATGTGATCTGCTTCCTTTCTCTTGTAGCTTTTAAAATTCTCTCCTTATTCTGTATGTTGGGTAT